GGAAAGCTGTACCTCACTGGAAATGCCTGCAGAGTGATAGAGCTAGGTCCTGCCTGTGGGCACCCTACAGTGACTTCTGACTTGCAAATGGCAATGGCCAGAGGCACTACAGACTCCTTGCTCCAGTGCCTTCCTTCACTGCCTGCTTTTGTTGGTGACAGGGTGACGGACGCTGTCTTTAACTTCCTGCTGGTCTGGTACTACTGCACCCTCACAATCCGAGAGAGCATCTTAATCAACAATGGATCCAAGTGAGTATAGCTCTCTTTGCCCAATTTCAGAAAAGATAGTTGCCTGAAAGCTGGGATACTTTGGGCTAGGTAATCCCTACCTGATACAGTAGACTTTCCAAGGGCTCTGACCCTCAAGCCTGGTCCAAGCTCCTCAAAGGAGCAGATGAAAGAACCTCCCACTTAAGGTGCAGCATCTCTGCTCATGAGACTTGCTCTTTGCTGTGAGGGAGAGCTCATATACAAACAGTACCTTTAAGCAGCAGTTACAGCAGATTGGCATCTCTAATTGTAACCCTTGGTATCAGTGACTGGCTCTTGTCCTGTGTGACTTAACAGTCCCAGTTGAGCATCTTCTCTGGGTGAATCAGATCAGGGTGGGTGGCTGCTCTTCCCAGGCTGTAGGTGTTGAACATGTGAGAGCCTGGCCCTGAGCATCAGTTGCATTGGTTCAGGGCTCTAATTCTGGCTTTCCTTCTTTTATCTCTCTGCAATTCCAGGATTAAAGGCTGGTGGGTTTTGCATCATTACATCTCCACCTTTCTCTCAGGTGTCATGCTGACTTGGTGAGTCTCTGTTCACATTGTCCTGCTTTGCTTCTCTTTCCTGGTGCACAGGTGATTCTCAGAGAGAGAGCTTGCCCATCTTAGCGTACATCATTAAAACCCTTAGATCTTTTGGACAGAAGAGGAGCCATTAGTAATGTTTACAGTTGGGTTCTGCCCCTCCCCTGTCCCCAGGCAAGGACTAGCTTATCAGTGGATATTGTCCAGGGGACAAAACGCCTGACACTTCCTAGGTTTTATCATGTTTACTTGATCCTTGTTGATAGAGGCTGTAGCTTCTGGTCTCTTATGTCCTCATATGCTAGCAGGGATCTTCTCATCTTCTTTCAACTTTTGGTCTAGCAGTAGTTCCGTTTGTCCAAGTTGCTTTGAAACCCTAGCAAATTAGACAGACCCATCACTGGTGTTTCCATTTGTAGTGGGAGAGTGAAGGCCAGGTGTGCTCTGGCATCAACTGTCAAATATAAAATGGGCATGTAATGCTGTCAGGTGCCACTGGAGTTGGCTGTATCTGGTAGCTCATCTGAGTGTGTCTCAGCCAGTCTCTTCTTTCTTGTAGGCCAGATGGGTTGATGTACCAGAAGTTCCGAAACCAATTCCTCTCCTTCTCCATGTATCAGAGTAAGTGCTGGTGGTCTCTGTGCCAGGGAGGGCTTGAGGGGGGAATCTTGGCTGTTCAGAACCCCCTTCTGCAGCTGGTGTCTGGAGGCAGGCCAGTGTCTGCCTTTTGTTTTGACCAAGCTCTCCATCTAGTCTGAAGCGCTTGCTGGCCTAGGCCTAGGTGTAAACTATCCCCTGTAGAACGTCCCTTGATGTGCACGTGTTCTTGCAACACACAACCACAGATGACATTAACAGAGTTTTTCAATGCTCTTAGCTGGGGGGGGGGCAGTGAGTGCTTCTGCTGTGGTGGTGTCCCCATGGGGACTGGAGTAGCCATCCTGCGTATGGCACTTCATGCCACATTAAGGCAGTCATCATAGGGACAGCCTATGGTGCGTTTACCCTAGTAGTTGCCTCAGCTGTCCAGTTACACTCCCCGGGCCAGCAGGTGAGAGGCTGGCAGGTCTGAAACCTCCACAGAATGGTGATCTCTCAGGCTTCAGCACTTTCCCAAAGTACTCCCTAGCCTTGCTCTGTCTGCACACACATCTGTGATGCTGCTGTCTTACCTGCAGAGCAGCAG